TGTCACAGATATTTCTATGTAAGACGACGCAGCGACACCGTTGCGTTGCCGCGCCGCCGCATCAACGAATCACGTGCCCCTACACTAACTCCTTTTTTCTGTTGTACAGATTTTTAAATATCCCGTGAAAATAAATCGTCGTACTTAACAGGCCAATTAAAAAAGTAAAGGTCTGAAACAAGCGGCATAGTATTAATTCCAAATTAACAATTGTGGTATAGACATATAATGACGCGGACTACAGGGTCATAAATCAACGTTATTTCTTTGTCTTTACAACGTTATTTACAACGATCACTTAATAATAAAAAAATAAAAAATAAATCAAGCACTGATTGTACAGTCGCCATCAGATATATCTGAGCATACAAGGTGACCAAATACATCTGAACAGTTAAAATGTCATTAAGTTCTATACGCTACAAGTGACCATAAATATCTGAACATTCATTACTTCAATAATATCTGAGCAGATGCCTGTCAATAATATCTGAACATACAACTTTTCAATAATATCTGAACACGTCAATGATTATGTATCTACGCAGATCATGCACTGGGCTTACATATTTTGTTACTACGTGATTGAAAGGATGAACTAAAAACAAAGGCTAAATATAAGGAATAAATACGATGAGAAGGGAATAAAAATCTATCAGAAAATCATTCGTGTAGGTCACCACGAGTAGTAGAAATGGAAGATGCATAATTTTTTCTCTATTTATTTTTTATAATTAACGAGAAGTTATGTTTTTATTTTATTCTATAGATTAAATTCTCAATATCTCCTTAGAAATTTATTAAACCCGGCGTCAGCACAGTCAAAATATGCATCAACGACAGTAGGGTTGGGTCGAGAGGACCCGTATAAGAAAACGCCATAATTACAAAAGTTAAAATAAATTTGGTATGTGGTTGTACTATCTGTATAAAACGATTATCGTTATAGGTTTTGAGTAGAAAAAAACACAACATGATACGAAACTATCTTTTTAATGTCATTTTCATAAAAGTGTCACAAAATATTAACAAAATGGACAACCTCTGTCTTAAAGTAATAAAATTTTAACAAAACATTTTTTTTATATAACATAAACTAATTTGTTACATGTTAATCAAATCTTTAGTAAACTAATAATATTATACTATTTGTATCAGTCTCATACGTCAGTCATAGTATCCTTATCATCTGCGCAATCTCGGCAGTACAACATTGCATGGTCACTGCAGATGTATTTGCATATACAGCTCCGAAAATTATTAGTTTTCTATCTTTTTTGGCAGAACAGTCTTGGCATCTCTTTCTTACATAAAGTATCTTCACAGGTGGCTCCTCATCAGGTACCTACTCCTAAAAACTCTCTTATTCTTTTGCGTATAAGTCTTAGCAACTGAATGACATCTTTACGATTGCGCAAATGCTCACGAACCAGTATAAGGCTTAAGTTTCTTTAGAAATTGGCGTTATGTAATATGTACGCATTTATTTCAGACATATTTGCCAAAAATAACAAAATAAACAATATAAAACAACAATAAAACATTTTTTTAAACGGCGCAAAATTACGACACGAATAGTATGGTTGGGTCATATTTACCTTTTTCGTGTTTGGCCGTGTCTATCACTCGCTGCGGCCGCAACACGACTGATTGGCAAATCCCACGTGGAGGGGGGGACCATTAGCTCCAGCTACTGAGAAGTTTGGCAAAGTCGCACAAACATTTTAAGAAACACGCTCATTTGAAAACTGCTCGGGTCAAATAGACCCAACTGTGCGAACGCCGGGTTAAAAATAAGACAACTGCGTTTTTTAACCGCAATAGAAATAAGTAATAATTTGGAGGAAACATTTGTCCCACTATTTCCATTGCAGTGGAAAATGGAATTCTGTACTTGTCATGCTCAAACTGGGCGCCATCCTTACAAAAATTTTATTTACTGTCTGAGTGGATGTGTTTGTTTGGTTTGGGTATGTATTATTTATAAAAGTGAATATTAATAAAAAACAAATTTAATTCTTATAAATTTTTATTGAGTTAAATAATCAAAAATGTAAACGAATTAACTTGGTACACTACCTCAGTAGATGCTCAAGCTTAAGTATTTATTATTATAATAAAATTATAATCGAGATCGAAATAAAAAAAAGCAACTTCTGATACAATGAGTTTCAAATTAAATAGTAACAAAATGTTTTATTGTTATAATTATAAATGAGATCAAATCAAAAAGTTATCAGGCAATTAGTAAGGTTCTTGAAATTAGCGTATTATTATTAGCTTAATAATTTCCCAATATTATCAATGCCCGTTTAGACGGGAATTTCTAACAGACGTAGACGGCCGTAACGTATATTGTCGAATTTTCAACAAAAACGCAGACCAATTAGTTATTTTGCTCACCATTTTTAGGGTTCCGTAGCCAAATGGCAAAAAAACGATATTCATACAAAAATAGAAAAAAAAACGAATGGACGTAGATTTTTTTTTTATCAAATCTTTACGTGTGGGGTATGGATAGGTCTATAAAATTGATAGGTCTATAAATTAAATATGGGACCCAGCACGGGAATCAAATCCGGTCGTTTTGAAAAAAAAAAACTTACACTATTTCTATTTAAATATCGATTATGTAGGTCTGAAGCAGTAAATGTTTCTATTAAACGTGATGTCTCAAATGCGTAAAATGCATTTTTGTCACATAATTTAAATTATTTCAGTAGAGGTTCTAAGTGACCACCGTTTTTTTAATACAAAATTTAACACGTATAGGTAACTTATCTTACTAATAAATAGAAATAGGAAATAGTGTTAGTTTTTTTTTTTCAAAACGACCGGGTTCGATTCCCCAGCTGACCACAGGGTTTTTCTTAAATGTATGAATGCAGTTTTAATTTTTATTAAAATCGATGACATAGTTCCTAAGAACAGATCTTCGTATATATTATAGTTCAAACTTTCCCATACTGACCCATTTAAATGAGCCATCTTGTATACTCTCATATTAAATTTTTGACCATTATATAATTATTTGCCGAACAAGGATTGCTGCCTGATTTTTTAAATTGCTTACAAAATCTTTTTGTGCCGACCAAATTATTTAAAGGCTGACCAATTATATACTTCTCATGAAACATTAGTATTTTGTGTAACCTCCTTCTGCATTTAATACGTCTTGTAAACGTTTCCTCATGGAACCAACTACCTTCTCACAAAAACCTCGACCTCTGAACGATTCCCAAACATCATTTGCATGTCGCCTTAAGGCTTCTGTTGTTCGACATTGATTCCCATCCCACTCTTGCACCATTTTACCCCAAAGGTTTTCGATGGGATTGAGGTCTGGACTTTTTGGTGGTAGTTTGATTAAAGTTAGTTCTCTCTGTTCATTAATCCATGTCTGTACTGTACGAGCATTATGTACTGAGCTGTTGTCTTGAAGGAATGTCATTTGTTGTTCTGGATAAAAAACTTGAGCTGTAGGAAGAAAAGTATCTTCCAGAAGTTCCTTATAATTCATTGCATTCATTCGTCCACTTATTTCCACAAGCTCACCAGGACCATCTTTGCACATCCATCCCCAAAATCCAATTGAAATACGTCCACTCCGGCGATTAGGCAGCACATTTTGTTCTAAGTAACATGTGTTTTCGGGTCGCCACAAACTTAATCGCCCATTATCTGATGAGCAGAGAACCTTTTCGTCCATGAAAATAACGTTTTGAAAATTAAAATTTAAATAATTAGCTGCAAATTGTAGCCGCTGCATTTTGTGCCTTGGCGTGAGAGTTGGTTTTTTTGCCGGTACTCTATTTTTTAAACCTCCTTCTTCGTCTTCTAATGGTGCTAGTGGATATTTCGAATGTGCTTGAAAATTGTGTAGTGTTTATAAATCTGTCATTTTTGGCTTTATCTATAATAGCTATGTCTTGGTTATTTATAGTAATACGCGGGCGACCAAATGAAACATGATTATTTAATGTTTCTCCTTGCTGCCATCTTTCTAGCCATAAATATACAGTATTTCTCTGAAATAAATACAATTTTATACTTTGTGAATAAAGTTTCATGTTTTGTGGGCAATTGATTTTTAGCATTTTTCTCCGTGATACTTACGGCTATCCCTAGCTCATCGGCGATATCTTCTACGGATAAACCATCATTTTTTAGTTGTATTATTTTATGTTTCATTTCCGCATCAATACGGTACGAACTCATATTAATTATAGTTAATTTATGGTATGAACTAATACGTAAGCAAGCTGCTTGAATTTATTTGTGCATGACACATGACAGAGGTGATAAGAATAAAAACTGGAAAGTGTTTAACTGCCAGCGTCATCTTATTATAAATAAATAATTAAGAGGTCCTATTAAAATTGTTCAGATATTTTTGAAAAGTTGTATGTTCAGATATTATTGACAGGCATCTGCTCAGATATTATTGAAGTAATGAATGATCAGATATTAATGGTCACTTGTAGTGTATAGAACTTATTGACATTTTAACTGTTCAGATGTATTTGGTCATCTTGTATGCTCAGATATATCTGATGGCGACTGTACTTCGCGTGCTACGGTATATGAAACGTGCTACGGTATATGAAACGTGCTACGATTTACATCTACGAGTCTACACGAAAGAGAAAAAAGGTTTGTCACAGGAAATATACAAATGAGTTTACTTTCGAATAGTCAACTTTAAAACATAAATCATTGATTTTACAAAGTCCGGCCGGCTAAACACAGGAAGGGTATAAGCTAACGCCCTTCATATATTATTCATGAACTGGGAGAGAGAAGTATAAATTATGACCCAGGTTACATAATTTATGTTACAATGAAAATTCATATAGGCAGTAAGAATTTGTATTTTGATGAAAATGTATGATCTGTCAAGGTGTCAAAAACAAAGTTTTTGTTTCTAAGCGAAGCTGACTACATACACATAATACATTATATTGCGTTTTCATATATTTTATTTCTTTTGTATTATGTTAGCTAGTTCCGCAGTGGTCGACCATTGGATGGGTGACCAAAAATTTACTATCTCGAGCTCCTCTGTGCTTCGGAAGGCACGCTAAGCCCGCAGCCGTTGGTTCCAGCTGCATCTACAGTCGTTAGCATCCACCAATCCGAACTGGACCCGCGTGTTGGGTCATAGCCCAATCTCCCTATGTCATCCTTAGGGAAAGCCTGTGCCCCTGCAGTCGGGACATTAATAAGCTGATGATGATAAAGCATACTGTTCTTCAACAGGTATTCGTGGACATGGAGATATTTTACACTGCCCCGCTGGCCGCGCACATTCCGCAGACGGAGGACTTGCTTTGTCGCGGAGAGGTGACGTCAGCGAGGGGCTCCCACGTCACATCGGAGCAGCCGTCGATTCACGGCTCCACTCACGGATCGGTACACAGCTCCGCCCCCCAGTCTGACGATGACAATGCGTTGGAGGACATCGAGAGGAATATAGCGAGTCTCGAACGCTCTCTGCAGAACAAAGAGATCGTCATTGACGTGGAGTCCGGAGACGAATCGCGCGCTCGCAAATTGAAAATTGTCGGGAAACGCTTTCTGAGGTGAGGTTATAGGTAGTATGTATTAATTCTCTGTTTTTATTAAGATACTAGTTGTCCCAGCGAACTTCGTACCGCCATAAAAAGAAGGGGTTGGTGGTAGAAGGGTGAAAATTTAGGGTTGTATGCATTTTTGTATGATGTATCGCAAAAAAAAACAATTTGTCCAAAAAAAATTTAAGGGAGGACCACCCTTAACATTTAGGGGGATGAAAAATAGATGTTCAGACATGTAAATTTTAACATCGTGACTTAAGTGTATTTTTAGGGTTCCATAACCAAGAGATAAAAAACGAGATCGTATTTCTTAAGCTCCACGTTCCGTCTGTCTATCCTTCTACCACCAGGCTGTATCTCACATGAACCGTGATAGTTAGAGAGTTGAAATTTTCACAGATGTGCTTTCGTTGCCGCCTTAATAACAAATACTAAAAACAGAATATATGACATATAAAAAAACGTGATTTATTGCGGTTTTGTTTCTCTAATATAATAATGGCATCACGTAGCCACTTGAAATATTCACAGAATATTTAATGGAGTATTCACTTTAAAAATAAAAATGGCGTGGAACCACGTGCATGAGGCCGACACGCACCATTTTTTTTTTATTTACTGTACCCCATATCTGTTAAAGTTCATAAATTAGAATATTATGTACAACATGGTTGTAAACAATAATATCAAGACATTCACCGTAGTTACCTTAGTAGCATGGTATCTACAGCAAACTGTCCAATTATTCAAACCGATTAAAGCACCTTATCTCAGACAAGTTATAGTTAAGTGTTGTAAAACTGAAGTGCCGCGGTCTGTCCCTTACCCTCGCTAGTGAAGATTGAACAAGCTAACAAGCCTGATCAAGATCGTCGTACAATCGTTCACAATGTGCTGGAAACTAGGAATTGCCATTATATCCAGATACATATTCATGCCCAAGCACGACATGCTGCCAACATTGTTGGATCCAAACAAAAGCTTTACGATCTTCATACTACTCTAGTAAGCTGCAATCAGCTACAGGCTAAGGGTACAGGGCGGTTTTTCACGTCATATTTCACATCGATTCCACAGTATCGCATGCAACCATAAATGCTTGTGATTTTCCATATTGCTTTTCTCGGAATAAATCACTGCAATTTATATTTTGATAGATGTGTGTGTTTATCTGTTACAATTTCTACTTTCACTAGTGTTCAATTGACTTAAATACTGTCGGAATTGGTTCAACAGACATCTCCTAATTTCGGTCGCACCATTACATTTGATGATAGTGTGGACTGGAAAAAATCACCTTTAATTGCCATTCTTTACAAAACACCGATAACTTTACTGAGTTAAATGGAAATTTTGAAATATTTTAATGAAATTTTTGTCTGAATAGTATAGAATAGGTATCTACTTCGTAATTTTTCCATAAAATTTTGACTAAACATTCGACTGTACATACGATTGAGTAATACGTCTATTATAACCAATATAATTATAGAAATCTAATCAACAGTGGTCGCCTACTAAACAACGACGACGAAATGTAACGACTTTAACCTACCTATTTCTATCTGAATATCCTATACTGTCTCATAATGTTTAAAAGTATTGTAGTGTATAGATATGGCAACACAAATACAATGTACTGCATGCGAAATGTCACTGTGACATTGCTATCAAGGCGCGAAGCGGTAATCGGTTGTGTGCACAATTAATGGTGATAAATTGATATTATATCGGAGTGTAACTGAACCTGTACAAATATTACATTCTTTTTTGGGCAGTTGTGTAAAAACAGAAACAAATCAAAGTATTATTGATCATGTAACTTTATAACAATTCCTATTGACACCTTGGTAAAAAATAATAAACAAGTCTTATTGTATAAATATGTATCACTACATATAATTGTGTTTTTACTGTAGGTACTGTTTTTCGTAAACTGAATACATATTTTGTTCATGAAAAACATCATGACATCGTGATTGTAGTATTTTTTTAAAATCATAAATCAACATGTTTTCGTGCGTGTTAGAAACCTCTGTCCTTCAACATTTGTATGAACAAGGTCAATGTAAACAGAATTATTGATTATATCGTAATTGAGAAAGGTTAAAAATGTAGGTTAAGTTTACCAACTTAACACTTATATTTTTTTATTACTATTTCACACAAAAGTTTTTCTTTATCCTTTCATTATTGTCTTTAAACTTAAAGTATATATTATATTTAATTGATGAACTTTAAGTCGCAGTGGATAGCGCGTTTGGTTTACAATCATGGAAGTAAGGCAACTTTCACAATGGTCAGTCATTGGATGGGTGACCAAAAACTTATTATCTCAAACTCCTTCATGCTTCTAAAAGTATGTTCATCCATTGGGCTCGGCTGCCCCTGCCGCCGTTAATACCCACCATCTGCGTGTTGAGATGAATCTTCCTGTTCTATCCGATAAGGCAGGCCTGTGCCTCAGCAATGGGAATACTAATAGGCTTATGATGATGGCATAGCCTCAGTAGTGCAGACCTTAAAGTTTGAACAGTGAGCTTATAATATGCACTGTCATTTGGCTGTATCAGTATATGAGGAGCTGGCGAACAAAACGGTATAATTACGCATCTGGTCAAACTACTTGTTTTTACAGTCCGGAGGTTTCCAGCCCATTGAATTTGAATCTCAAATAATTCTAAAACAGTGTTTAAATTACTAAATTTATAAATTAAAAACCATGCTAATACCTCCTGTAGGTATGTCAGTTTTATACAACTCCTGTAAAATTTAATTTTATGTAATTATACCGTTTTATTCGCCGGGTCCTCATTTGTGAGTTTGGCTTCCTTAGTCTAATGGTCACTGCAGCGAGCAATAGTTTCGATTAGATTTCCAAAGTACATTTTTTAATCCAATTATATTATCAGTTTTTCCCTGTCTTAAAGTTTTCTTACTCTCGTTTCGTCGCGTTTGACACTTTGATCAAATTCTGTCTATAACTCTTCAGAACATTTCTTAACAACGAGATTTTTGTTTCTTTTTTCAAACGAAAACTTATTTGTACGAAAAACTATTTAAACCCCCTTATTAATGAACAAAGAATAAGCTTGGATTAGTTACTCCATGTTTTGTCAGTGACATGAGGCATTTGAGTGACATGAACAAAACATGGCGTAACTAGTCTAAGCATATTCCTTTTTAATTATTAAGGGGTAAAGAGTTTTACACAAAATCCACTAGTAGATGTTGAATCAAACTTTGTTAGGAAACATTTGCATAATTAACCATTAAACTTTTATTCAAATAAATGTCACTGCTATTAGAGTGGTGTGAAATTTTACTTTTTCTTTTTAGAAGTTTCACAGAGTTTATTAAAATTATACAAGGTGTGTAGCGCTGATGTATAATTTTAAATGGAGCTTGTTAAAAAGGGGCACCTTAATTTGCAATATCTACTGCGAGGTCAAAGTGTACATTAACAATACAAATGAAAAAACCGGACCACCAAGGATTCCGTACAAATTTGTATGTACGCAACCTGATACGGCTGTATCTTCTTTTACGTTAGTTTAGAAGTGTGATTTTTAATTGACCGTCTTCTTCTTCTTAGTCGCTATCTTCAATGCTGAAGGTCGTGTCTAACTTGAAATGTTGACCACCGATATACTATTCATGTCTTCGGCAGTCTTTATAGCCTTGGTTATTGATAGACCAGAGAGCGACTTTTACTAAGTCTGATCAGCGGGTAGGTGACCGACCGCTTGATTTTCTGGCCTGGCCAACCACCATCAGCTTCTATAGACTGTCAGGATTACTGCGAGCGATGTTTCCGTAATACTTTAGTAAGCGCTGGTAACAGATAGAGGACACGTTGGTCCGGCGTGCAGTCCATGGGATCAGCCTCCAACACCACATCTCAAAATCGAAGATCTTTGCCCTTTCGCTCTATCTTATCGTCCAGGATTCAGCGCCATAAAAGAAAATCGGGAAGACCAACGTGCGCACCAGTCTCACTTTGGTTTTGCGGGATATGTTGCGGTCTTTCCATATCCTAGTGAGTTTAGTCATCGCTGATTTGGACATTTGGATTCTTAAAATTTCAACTCGATACCTCCACGCGTACCCGAGATAAAGGCGCTTGACAGACATACCGACAGACAGACGGGCAGACGGACAACTAAGTGGTCTTATAAGGGTTCCGTTTTTTCCTATTGAGGCACGAAACCCTAAAAACAACGTTTTCTAATTAATATTCTTGTATGACAAGCTTTTGCAAACAGCACAATAAATTTCTTGGCCTTAAGTCCGCTTAGTTAATGACACTTTAGCATATTCGAGACTCGCGACGTGACGAGTTGATAATTGTGAAGTAGGTTCTATTTACGAAACCAGCTTTACGTTGATGGAAATTAATATTCCCGTAGCCTATTCGCCATTTTGTCAATAAACACGCCATGAAAAGCGTAACACGATGTAAAATAGTCTGCAGTAACTAAATTATTTGACCATTTGATGCAAACAAATTGGCTAATTAGCATGAATCCCACATTATATAGCATAATTCATGGCAGATGGATACCACACTTGTGGTAATGTAATAAGGCTTGGATTAGTTTTCAACTGTATCCCGATCCGTACTACCTTTTTTACTTAGGAATTAGGAAAAACAACATGCTTTTACCTACGTGGCGATGTGGTCCATACACCTATAACACCAGTCTACGGAGGCCGACATCGAGTTCTTCCGTCACACTTTATTACTTTAGTCATAAAAACGGAGCAACTACTGCAATGCTATTCTGTAAAATTTTCACGGGCGGATCCAAAAGCTTCAATTGAGCCTCCTAATCGCCGATCCCTTTCCCATGCGGCGTCCCGCGCCAACGTCCGTTTCAAAACTACGACGACGACGACTTCTGTGGCCCAGTGGTTTGTACCGGAAGAGGTCCCGGGTTTAGGCTTGTATGTATTTTTTAATACCACATTACAAAAAAATATAATCAAAAAAAAATTAGGGGTGTGTAACGTAGTGTTATTGGAATAACATTCCTCCTAACCCATATGAGAACACTACGTTACAATACCCAATGGTTTGAATTTTGGGGCAAAGGCGCATTGTAGGTTTCAGAACACAACGTTACAGGTGGACAACCATTATCACTTAAGGATATGAAAAATAGATAGTAGCCGATTCTCAGACCCACGGAATATGCATATAAAATTTCATAAAAATCGGTCAGGCCGTTTCGGAGGAGTATGGTAACTAACATTGTGACACGAGAATTTTATATATAAGATACTAACTGTATTTGTATTCTATCCGTTACCCTAGTATCTCATAACACGAGCCTTACAGTGCTTACTTTGGGGCTAGGCTAATTGGTGTTTAAAAAAAACTCCCATGAACCTGTCATGAAAAGGACTTTTATTTGTATCCTTTTAGACTTTTGCATTTTTTTCTGAAATAGATTTCTTTCTCCGTAGAGGGATGGTATAACGGCTCATACAAATGCAAATCTATGATATCTTTGTCGTAGATAGTCTTATATGGCCCGCTGGTATAGGTATAAATTTTGTACAAGTGAATCACTTTAGAAGTATTTTAAAATTTAATATTATTATAATAAATATCTCATTTTTTTATAAAATTGTATATCGACATAATTAAATCATAAATTGGTATTGATTCTAATGCTATATTTACAATATAGGTTAGGAATAACAAGCGTGTGACCGCTATGATTAAAACAGCTTTAATCTAAGTGTGACCGCCAAAAAAGGGTCCTTGAAGAACTACCCTTATTTTATTATTTTATTTTATTAGGGATAACAAACAGTTGTACAATATATGTTAAGTGACGGCTTACAATTATGTTATACTTATTGTACAACCAACAACATTATCCACAGATTAATACTAGGATTGTTTTGATTTCACAGGTAAATAAATGTAAACTAAAGTAAAAATATGTTGTACACTACACCTACCCTTGACATACAATTCGTTCCTGGATCAACCCGCTTCGAGAAAAAAATATTTTTTGAAAGAGCTTTTTATTCAATTCTGTATAGATAAGGGTTTTGCTTGATATAATACTTGACACGAATTGCTGTTTCATATAAGAATTGCTATTTGATATACCTTTGTTTGTTTTATATTTATTCTAAAATAAAGTAATGTTTATAGCTTCTAGACAGAGCCTTTTTGTTGATTGTTTACTGTCAAAACCAGACAGATAAAATTCATACCAGGTACACAAATGAATACTGACAACGATTTAATTAAAAAACAATAAGACCTTTGTTTATCGGAACACTTCAATGTGGGTTTGAATTTACATACATAATAACATAATCGTTTGCAATACAAATACAATTTAATTTATTCATCTTAACAATAACGCCATACTAAAGTGTTAAATTACAAAATAAAAAAAAACAAACTGTAGTATATCAAAACGTTTAGCGCTCAGCATATGAATAGCACATGTAACGCAGTTATTCTGTAGCTTTTCAGATCTCTGCCGTCACAAAGCACCTGAATAAAAGAAAGCTGTATTTATAGCAAGCGTGGTAGTGACCACGAAAGTATGCTAAGGCTCAACTGACACTGGCGCAGAGACGAAACGTAAATTCGTGTGCTGTTCTTTAACTTTTTTTTTTAAATAACGTTAAGTATTTTGTGACTATATATGTACAGCATACAGCATTTCTTCTATATTGTAATCTGACAAAAAAGAGGTAACAATTTAGCAGAAATATTGCTAAAGATCAAATCTATACAAGATTTTAATCAGCTTAGGCGCTAATGCGCTCACGAAATGTCTAGATATTTGAGGAGTTTCCACCTTTTGAAAATATGGATCAACCATCCATATTATTTTTTTCTGTAAGGACCATTTTGAATTGCAATGCATACTCCACACCTTTCTTTTATAATTACTCTCAAGGCCGTTTTGGCTATGTTTTTACAATGAAGTTCTGTTAATACAATTTGCAATTTGATGGCAGTGCGTCACAGTATATCCAACATCCTAGTATAAGCATCACAATATAGTATACTAATCACGTTGTACATATTGGGCCCTAAAATCCCCTTTTTAAGTACTATAGCCATAGTAATAAAACATACTTTTATGATAACTACTATAGCAGTTGTATATTTTTGTTGTTAAAATCTATTTTAAAATTCTGTTTTTTTTTACTGAAGTAAACTGTATAAAGGTCAGATTCATCACTATTCTCTGTGGCGCGGATGTATGTTTAAATGTGACCTATTTAATTCTTCCGCAGGCGAGGCTTCTCAATGGGGGCCGAGAAAGTGGTCACTATCTCCGAACGTGACCGCAAAAGAACATCTACCTTCAAGAGCGTGCGCAGCCTGATCAGACTGGGGCGGGGGAGGTCCCGCGACTGTAGCGGCGATGAGGAACAGGGTCTGCTGGACATGCCTGGACCCTCCACAGAGCAAGACCGCCCTGTCAGCCAGACATCTGTGTCCTCCGACGAACTGCTGGTGGACACTAGGTCTCCCACCGAAACGCCGAAGATTAAACGAATGTGAGCACTTTTTTTTAGTTTCATTATAAGTATAAAGGGTCTTCCGGACATGTCTGAACACTTCACGGAACAGAACCCCCAGGTAAGTCAGACTTCCGTGTTTCCCGACGTACTGCTGGTGGACACCAGTTCTGCTACTAAAACGCCTTAGATTAAATGAATGTGAGCTCATTTTTGTTACTTATATCTTGATATTGTGACAAATAAGAAAGAAGCTCTGAGGAGATCAATGGTACAAGTAGTTAAATCGTTTGGCCTGTTTTCATGAAAGTGAAACTTTTGCAATTCGTTATCTCCTACTCTACCGTACTGTGGAAAATTCGTTAAGCCATTGGTCCCCGCTGACTGATTCAATCGTTAGCACCCGCTAACCTCCGCTCCCACTGGAGCATGGCACATCTCTATAATCTATCCATATGGAATGCCTGTGCCCCAGCAGTAGAGGCATTAATAGGCTGGTGTAAAATAGAAACGATGACGACCCCCTGGACATCTCAAGCCACGTCTATCACAACATTTTTTCAAGCACTACCTGTATCCTTCTATGTCTTGATTGTTTCTTAGGCGTACGGCACTGGACACGGCAGGGGTATCCGCTTTGAAAGCGGCTGACTTTCAAGTGTGCGTGACTGTTATCGAGGCTCGCCAGCTGGCTGGGCTTAACATGGACCCGGTCGTGTGCGTGCAAGTTGGTGACGTGCGCAAATACACCAGCGTCAAAGAAAGCACCAACTGTCCATACTACAATGAGGTCAGTACTTTTAGTTACATCAGACAAGAAACGTTAGTATAATCTTTAAGTATGACCACTGCATACGATACGATATAGTAATAAGAAACCTTCTGGCAGTCAGAACAGAAATAAACGTGATGTTACCTGAGAGTATAACCAGTCCCTACGATACAGCATTTTATCAGAGTTTAGCAGTCTTTCTGACAAAATACAATAGATCTTGGCAGTTTTGAGTATATATTTATTCATTGGGGAGAGCATCAACAGCTGCCCTTTTTACCCGGCTGCGCAATGCAAGAGCGCGAAGCGCGACGCGCAGACAGGGTTATGTGTTTAACAGTCTATATATGTATGTTTGTTCCTTTGTGGCACACTAGAGACCAAACGCCTGGACCGATTTTGATGATTCATACATCAATCGATTCGTCTCAATCATGGGAGTGCTACTAAAGATGTGATAGTAACCAAAATTCAATATGGGCAAAATTAGGCGCCATATTGTGACGAAGTAAAAAAAAAAAGTTGACAAAATATTTCGAGTAGGGTATCACTGTCTAGATAATCAAAAATCATATTTAGGTTCCTAACACCATTTTTCATTTTATATCATTGTTTAGGATCTACAACGCTTTAAAGTTGTATATTAACCACACGCTTTTAATTTCAATCTTACGTTTCTATGGATCTTTGTTACTCTTTCACCTAAAAAATACTGAATGGATTTTAATGAAACTTAACAGTAATATAGCTCATATATGATAATTACATATACATAATAATTTATGTAGTTATTGAGTGAATTGGCCAATATATAGCAATAAGTGTCACATAAGACGGAAAAAAATGTCCCATCTGTCCATTTTGGCCTGCACTGCAAAAACAATAAAAGTTACATGAATGTAGAGTGAAAATGTATCTCTTAAATAGTTCTAAAAAAAAGTCCGTGACACCATATATCTATTTTTAATGTGTAAGTCATTACCGCTAAAATAGTGAATCAAAACTAAAATACACACATCAAAAGTGTCTAGGGATCAACATATATTTTTGCAATAACTTTTCTCCTGATTGATATTAATTAAAATTTTCTTTAAGGATTCATCAAACAAAGTGTTTTCGTTTGTCACAGTAACGATAAACCAAGTCACCTTTGCATTAATAAAGAAATTTGCCATTTTCCTAATAAAGGGATTTTTGACATTTGAACCACTAACACAAAAGTTCGAAAAAAAGACTGAAATAACAGTTTTCTCTAAAATTTTATTGGGTAACTTAAACAATTAATAATCCGTATTTCTACCGCGAACACTAACAACACAAGAACATCGGTTTGGCATACTCAAAATGAGTTCATCCAAATCACGCTGTGGAATGGCCGCCCATGTTCGTTGCAACAACAAAAAAAGGTCTTCTTGCGACTGGATACCCTCCATATTCGGCAGAGCTCTTCTCTGTAGCATATCCCATGCATGCTCAATCGGGTTCAAGTCTGGCGACTGAGCAGGCCAGGGCAGGACATTGATGTTAGCTGCGGCGAGAGTCTGTCTTACAACTCTTGCGGTGTGCGGTCGTGCATTATCATGCATTAACTGAAATAAGGGACCGATTTGCACTTGTAGAGGAACGATGACGTCTGATACAATCGTCTCAGCATAAATTTGAGCGTTGAGGTTGCCTCTGATCCAAATCAACTCAGTTCTTCCGCCGATCCAAATACCCGCCCATACCATGATGGTTCCACCACTATAAGGATGGACTTCCTGGCAGGATTTTAATCGCTGTTGGCGTCCAGGGGTTCTCCAGTGTCGTATATGTCTTGTATCCGGTCTCATACCAATACGAGACTCATCAGAAAAGCACATGAAACGCCATTGTTCTTCTGCCCAATTTCTGTGTTCAAGAGCCCATTGATATCGAATCCTACGATTGTGCATTGCTATAGGTGGTACCCGTAGCGGTCTTCGGGAATGAAGGTTCACTTCATGCAAGCGGTTTCTGACTGTTTGGTCGCTAATTAAGTTCCCTGAAGAGTGATGAAGCCTCACGGCTAACATCATGGCGGTTATTGTTGGAGCTCTTCGAGTTAAGATTTGAATGTATCGGTCTTGTCTCCGTGTGGTGCAGCGATACCGTCCTCCATGGCGCTCAGCCACGGTACCAGTGCTTCGGTATCGTGTCCAAAGTCGACTGATAACACTCTGACTTGTATTCAGAGCTAAAGCCACAGTACGTTGCCGGGAACCAGCTTCTATCATTCCCACGGCTCTGAGCATTTCTTCCCTGCTTAAATGACGTCGCCGCTCCATAATAACGTTGGTTTTAATCAGTAGTAGGGAAACAGTAGCACTAATAATGTCTTCAATGCGTTGTATGTTTTTATAGGGAAAATATTGACAGCTGATTTTCATCTTTTACTCGAATTTGATTCACAGTTCCTGATTCAAATTATGAAATGCACCAAAAAGGATCCATATAAATTTATAAAATCATAAATTTATTACAAAGCCACATCTCAATCTCAAGAAATCCGCATAAAAATGCTTGATCCCTAGACACTTTTGATGTGTGTATTATTTGATATCTATTTCCAAAATGCACATTTTGTATTAACAAATCATTTTTTATCAAAACAAATACTTTAATCACTTTTGATATTTAAAGATGATAAACTTTGCTTTTTACACTATGTCATTTCGACAAATATTTAAAAAGTTTCAACGATGACAAAGTGATAGCGCGATGTACTATGTAAAAGAAAAAAAATGGGGTATTCGCAGTATCTGATCCTATACGAAGTACTAACATTAAAACTGTGATACAGTTCCTTCTTATTAAATGATGAAAAATATATTATCATAATAGGTATTTATGATTATTGAATTTTAATGAAAAACTCAGAATTTTAGTGTTTTTCATTTTTTTTAACGATATTACATAAGGTTACAAAAAAGGATTATAATGACAAATAACCCATTTTTCGCTAGTAAGTACATATTTATTGGAATCCCTGTATTTATTAATCAGCTCGCGATAATATTGGTTTTGTAATAATTCTGTAAAATTCAAAGTAAATAATTATAATTAATAGATTTTTATAGGTAAATCACCCCTTTCATCACCCTACGCCTATAAGTATTGCGATGTTGTAGCTAAGAACCAAGTTCCCATCTACTTCTTTATGGGAATTCATTATATTCGATTTAGCTATTCGGGCACGGAAGCGCAACAAAAAAACTCAATTTCGCATCTATAATATTATATTATACTTACTAGTGATCCACCCGGGCATTGTACGTGCGAAATTTATTTATCGGGATAAAATATAGCCTATGTCACTCGGACAAAATGTATTTAAATAAAGAAAAATGTTATAATAAATAATGTAGCTACCTTATGATGAATTAATATTTGAAACCGGTTCAGTAGTTTGACAGATTATTTGTTACAAACATACAAATCTTGCCTCTTTATAATATTAGTATAGATAGTTAGGATAAGATAAGTATTTAATTGATGAAAAAGATTTAAAAATAAAGTAAGTGATAGGTTTATTTGATTATATTTGTAAAAGTTACTTAGCATTTGTGCTTAACAGTGATACGTTATTCGGTATTTTTATAACAAAAAAAAAATTTGGAAAATAATTACCATGATTGCACTACTGGGAGTACTCTTCATTCGAGCTATACACTACCAATAAAAAAGGGTCGAACACAAAGTCTTTGACCTGTTAAATATGAACGCTTTAAAAGAATACTACAAAGAGAACTATAAATTGATAATAAATGAGATTGCTATGGTGCTCTACCTAACGTTATGAAAATTTTATTATGCGCCTTTAGTTTAATCAAATATTATAAACTTTGCTTTGGTGATTGCATAATTATTTAATTTAGTGATCTAAGGCAGTTGCCACCATTGTCCAAAACAACAGACGGGAATTACTTCTTTCTTCAACCTGCGACATAAACGTCATTGATTGGTATTGTATATAGGGTGATTAAAAACATTTGAAGTTAAGTTCTAGCATCTACATAGTGGTGCCAATTCAGGCGTGATTCTCTAAACTTAAAACTAAATTTAACATCAGTCTCTCCTTTTCATTCTGTATAGAGAATGACAAGGATATACTGCTGTCAAATTTAAGTTTAGGTTTAGAGAATTATGCTAGAATCGACACCATTGGGTTTCTGTGAATTATGTAGGTATATCAAATTATGAGACTAGGGACTGACACTGAATTTGTGTATATCACAATCTTAGACGTCCGGCATTGACATGACAATGCAGCCACTGCCAATTTTAAATAGCCGACGAATAAAAGTAAATGAATTTTATATTTACTGCTAAACTATTAAAAAAAACATAAACTAAAGATGACTTTTTGAGTAAGTGCTAGTTTACTGTAAAATTTACATACATTAGAGATATTTATGTTACGACTTGATTTAACTTCACACATTTTTGCGAAAATTGAGGCCCATCTGTAGCCTTGACCCCGCTGGTAAAGTCTTTATATGTCTTAATAAATCAATCTTTTAGACCGACGCAAGGTACTTAATAATTCCCGCGATATTAATTCCCTTACTGAAGTAACAAGACTACGGTATATACCGTCTTAAAATACTAACTAAAAAGTGTGAAATAAAAAAGGTAAATTTAAAAAATCAAAAAACCCGACTGCTTAATTATTCTTCAAATAAAAACTGAAAAGAAAAAAACAAGTCCAGTAGTCTATAATTCTGTTAATAAGGAACAAAGCTACTTTAACAGTCGGGACCCACTGTTGAAAAATATTATGTATTCTTGAATATCTAATGGGTCCCGACTGTTAAAGTAGCTTTGTTCCTTATTAACAGAATTATAGACTACTGGACTTGTTTTTTTCTTTTCAGTTTTTATTTGAAGAATAATTAAGCAGTCGGGTTTTTTGATTTTTTAAATTTTTTATCACATTTAATAACATCCAATGATTCAAAATCAAAAGATAAAATTCCGAAACCTTTGTAAAAAACTAAGATAATTTAAGCGTATGAAGTCTGTTGATGACACAATGTTATCACTACGTCCTAGTAGCTAGTCCCCACGTCACTATCTGAGATAGATATGGTGGTATTTTTCACTACCTGAAATGGATGTCGTATTAAACCCGTATGCATGTTTTTAAATCAGTGCAAACTTTTATCAAAGAACAAGGGCAAGTATTCTTGATGGTGAATATTTACCATCTACCATCCATATGACGACCTCCGTGGCCGAGTGGTTTGCACGCCGGGTTTCATGGCTGTCACCGACTCGGAGAGGTCCCGGGTTCGAATCCCGGTGGGGGCAGATGTTTGTGGGATGAATACGAGCATTTATACTCCAGTCATAGATGTTTAATATTTATTTATATAAATATACTTATATATGTACAGTAAATGTATTCTATCCGTTACCCTAGCATCCCATAACACAAGCCTTATACACTAATTAGCCTAGCCCCAAAGTAAGCACACTTTGGGGCTAGGCTAATTAGTGTGTTGGAAATATTTATTTATTATTTATTTATTTATTACTAGCGGTCCGCCCTCGCTTCGCTTCGGTGTAGAGCTGAAGTGTAGACTACAGTTTTTGTTCTCAGGCTTGTATTATATACACAATGACATTCATCTATGATTCTTCTTATACCTGCATGCAGTCTCAGCCCGATCGGTTTAAAATTGACAAAGTTTCATACAAACTTTCATTCCCTATTTTATCCTCTTATCTTATCTATTGGGGGTAGAATTGATCAAAATCCTTTCTTAGCGGATGCCTACGTCATAACATCCAGCTGCATGTCAAATGTCAGCCCGATCCGTCCAGTGGTTTGGGCTGTGCGTTGATAGATCACTATGTCAGTCAGTCACCTTTGACTTTTATATACATATATAGATACAAACGGTCATTTTTATTACCTGTATTTATAATCAAACTAAAATTCTCATATTTCCGTTTTCCAGTACTCATTTTCTACACGTTTTACATGATTTATTTGCTAATTTTGTTTACAAATGTTTGGTTTTTATTCTAAGATAAGCACGGTTTCTTAATATCAATTATTGTCTGTCAATAAGGTCGAACGCACTGAACGCATCAACAGCCAAATATTGAATGAAGCTCGCTTTCTTTTTTTTATTTCCTCCCAGGCGGGCGAGCGGGTGTGAAATCCTCATGGATACCCTACAGCCGGCTGTAGGGTTATGTCAGACTCTTACTGACTAAAACACACCCGTGGGGGATGCCTATGGCCTTAGGGGCCATACAGGCTTCATCTGATGCGATCAACCCCTGAGAAGGGGATGATGCAGCGCTGCCTTAGTAAATACTACTGCATAGTGCGCTTTGAGGACGGATGCACTCTGATGTGCATCCGTATCTGTTTAGGACAGAGCGACTGAAGGTCTCTCAGGATCGGGGGGCGGGGAAGCTCGCTTTCGGACCTCCCGCCTTTTTATACCCTACCGCCGCCGCGACCCGTGTCGAGCGCGGCAACCGTTACACAAAAATAATCCTTATAGCATGATTCAGTATTCACGTGCGACGGCGCGATAGCTTATTTCATGTATAAGTTTGGTGTTTCTATACCGATTTCTATGATTCTCTTTTTATTGAATAGGTAATAATGTTAACTTTTTTAAATTAGGGATGAGTGAGAGTATTATAAACGTAAGAGTAAACAAATATAATCAGAATGCTCCGAACTGCTAAGCTATCAGGAGTTACACGTGTTATTGTGAGTCAACTATAAAAGATAGACATATGCTGTTGCGGGATATTTTTTAGGCAATTTTATGTAGAATATTTCCGTCATTTATGATTTCTATGTAACTTTAACCATTAAGGCTGCACACGCAACGGAAGCTTAAAAAATGGAGTAACTTCTCCCGTTTTCCCAACATTTCCCTTCACTACTCTGCTCCTATTGATTGTAGCGTGATGAAAAGTATACTATAACCTGCCCAGGAGTATGAAGAATAATTGTACCAAGTTTCGTTAAAATCCGTCGAGTAGTTTTTGTTTCTATAAGGAACATACACACAGACAGACAGACAGACAGGCAAAAATTTTACTGATTGCATTTTTGGCATCAGTATCGATCACTAATCACCCCCTGATAGTTATTTTGAAAATATATTTCATGTACAGAATTGACCTCTCTACAGATTTATTATAAGTATAGATTATTACCGATTCTCAAGCAACACTGTGGTCATATGTTAAAAAAGTAATAAAAATAATACATGATGCCAATAAATCAAACAAAGGCATACCTAATATGTGGATTAATTCCATTGGTCAACTAATTGTTTTACCAATGTGTGTATATAAGGTGTCATATGACAGAATTATCTTCTCGTTTTTACAGACGTCACTGTTCGTCTGCCTTTTTTCTGAGCTGAGCTCAATATCGTATCGATACCTGCAGTAGGTCATACGAGTACAGTTGAAAGCAACCGAGATGACTAAATCGATATTCATTTCCTGTAGCGCAATGAATCTGCAACCAAACCTACCAACACGAATTCTTGGAATATACAATTAAAGCTAACTTATTCAGTTTGCTATTATTGTGAAAAGAAAGGAAAGGTAAAAATGTATAAAATTATATTAACTTCAGTTCATATTTATCATGCAAGGTACGTTAAGCTGTTTACCTCGTCTGTATATAAAGTTTTTACCACCCTACGGTTGGTGGTTTATGGACCATTCTATTCTAACCAGATGGTCTGTGTCAATTAATAAACTTATGATGAAGATGATAATCATAGATAAATAGACATTGGTTGATGTATTCTATATTACTTTCCCAGTCCCACTCGAGTGTGAGTGTTCAAATTGTCTTATTGAAAGCTCTTTTGAATCGTCCAATATTTTTTTCTACATAGAGTAAACTAACCTTTTTTTAAAATAGTTAATAAAAATTTAGCTTACTTAAATGAAATACATAACACACTATCGAGAAGAAAGAACAATTATATTGTTCAACACTTCATCAATAATTATACAACTGGAAAAATTAGCTTTGGAACATGAAAAAGTCTTTAAAGTTCATGTTCCTTATGGTCCCGGTTGCATAAATTCATCGGTAGTGTAGTAGTGACAAAGATGCTGGTTCGATCCCAGCCTTGTAGCAAACACGAATTGAATACTCCCCACGATTTTTTTGCATACGACTTGTAATTGTTTACAATATACAATTATTATATGATCAAATATTTTTTTATTGTTCACAGTACTTCGTGTTCGATTTCCACATGCCGCCAATCATGCTGTTTGATAAAATAATTACTTTGTCGGTAAGTACACAGTTTTATCTTTATATAATAAATTTCTTATATATTTTTTTATAGATACACGCCTCTTTTAAAGGATCCCAGGTTGTAAGAGGAAGGGAACACGTGAGCGAGCAGAGCATTCCATTTACGGATAGTGCGACAAAGAAACGAGTCAAACTTCTTTTTAAGCGTTGGAATAGTGACCACAGATAGTCAGTGGCAACGTAGGCCAGTCGCGTGATCCTCTGAAGGAAAGGGGAAGATGGAATAAGAGAGAACAACTTCTCAGAACACTCGCCGTGGTAAGCCGTGGTACGTGAGACAGAACGCGCTTAATGACGCCACGTCACGGTGTAATTGTAGAGGCTCGAGGTGTTTAGAAACCTCCTCATCGCCTATGATGCGGATCACGCGCCGCTGTAACCTATCCAAAGCATCGAGTATGTACTTGGTGGAGCCATCTCAGAGGTGCGAGTAATATTCTACATTAGACCGCACCTGTGTCTTATACAACAGGCACAGTTGCTCAGGCGTGAAAAAACGCTGCACCTTGTTCAGGTCTTTGCATGAGACCGTTTTAACCACGTTTTAGATGTAATTGTTTGGATTTAAGGTACAGTTAATTTCCATACCGAGCATGGTGATACTGCTGTGTGTGGCCTGAAGAGAAGGAATTTTTATTTTTTTTATTTTATTGAAATGAAAGAAATGGTGACGTGTTTGCCGTGAAAGCACAGCCCTGATTTTTCTTAGCATTGAACTCAACCAAGTTCTTGGTACCCCATTCGGAAATGTGGTCCGAAGCCGGATTGAGTTCAATGACAAGATTCTCCCGTTTTTCCTTAATTACCGCCTGTCCAGCCGCTGCTTGTCCGAGATATCCCGCGTGCACTGTACTATCGTCTGCATAGCAATCAATATTCCCAAGAGGAATTAAGTCATTGATATGCAGCAGAAAGAGAGTGTGGGAACAGAACAGAGCCCTGAGGAACGCCGACATTCACTGACACCAACTGCGAACTACTAACATCCGTAAGGACGTGAATTCTACGCTCATGCAGGAAGTCAGCTACCCAGGAATAGAACTGGGTCGGCAGACCGTATGTCGTAAGCTTGGAGAGAAGGCTTTTATGCCAGACCCTGTCGAACGCTTTGGCAATGTCAAGGCTGATAGCCAACGACTCGCCCCGCTTGTCGATAGCCTCACCCCAGATATGAGTCAAATACGCTAGAAGATCATCCGTCGATCGAGGTCTAAAACCATATTGACGATCATAAATCAGGGAGTGATCCTCTAGGTAGCAGGTCAGATGGTTGTTAAGGACTTTTTCTATGACTTTACATAATATTGAGGTGACTGCTACTGGCCGGTGGTTTGCCGAGTCTGAGCAAACCCCTATTTTTGGGCACCGGTTGCACGTTGGCAACTCTCCAAGTCTCCGGCATATGCCCCAAAGAATACGAGCATTGGTACAAGCGCGTGAGCACGGGAGACAACTACGCTGCATATTTTTTAAGTACTACTGCTGAAATGCCATCAGGTCCACTAGCTTTCCAGACGTCAAGTGATTGCAATTCGGTACGAACCTCACGCTGCCTGATTTTAATATCAGGCATCGTTGTGCCACAATGAGGTAATGATGGTGGCAGTGCATTGCAATCATCTATTCGGGAGTTAGCCGCAAAGAGTTTTGCCAGTAAATCGGCTTTCCCCTTATATTAAAAAGATAAGGTTTTCTTAAAAGCAGTTTTAAAAATTTCAATATAATTCGTAGTGTTGTGATTAGTACCTACATGTTTATTTTATATATTAATCGCTAACAATTCTGACATTAGTGGAATGAGTTTTCTTTGAGAAAATTTGGCAATTGTGTGTTTGTCTGTGCATAATGTATGTACCTATAAAAGATATTTATAATAATAACTAGGTACTATCGGAGATAAAAAAAAACTCTTCAATGACGATACATAATTTACTTCTAAGTAAAAACCTTTCGTTCGAGCTCAAACTCATAAGGTCACTCACACACTCACAAAATGCTTCTGCAAACGGTTCCTCAGTATGTTCATAGTTATTTAGTTTATAATAAGTAAATGTATCGTATTTTACGAAAGAATATGTCAAACTCTTCCATTGATAAGTTATTTGATCTTTTACATCATATGCAAAATCCCTAAACGGAACTTCTTAAATGCTAATTGACGCTTTTAGAAGTAGTTACTTTATGTTTCTTTATCATAAGTAGTTATATATCTTTCAGCTGTGACGTCTGTCATTTTCTAAAGAACAAAGACTACGAGCTATTAAAATAGTTTTATGTGTGTTCAATGATAAAAGTTTTTTTTGAACACACAATATGTCGCTACGGCCGCTAATAATTCATTGTACATATACGATTAATAACAACATTTGTTTCGATTCTGGCATAATTCTCTAAACTTTAAACTTAATTTAACATCATTCTCTCCTTTTTTATTTTGTATACAGAATGACAAGGATACACTGTTGTCAAATTAAAGTTTAGGTTTAGAGAACCCTGCAAGAATCGACACCATTGTATCATTATATACATACTTATTCATATTTATCTTCTAAGATAGCAGTTATTTTTAACTTTGGAATTATATTACAATATCCCATTCTAGCAAACAGCACCGTTGTCGATTTTACGTTTCATTCCTTTTCATATAGACCTGTAAACTTGGGTCAATCCCGCAAACTCGCAAAACACGATCTCGGAATCTACCTACTTGCTCGTATTTCCCTCAAATATTCAAATTGGGGAAATATTAACGTTCTGTTTGTTGAATTACTGGACGAACAGATTAGGCTGAACGAGCTCATTTCCTTTCCTGGTAGAGGCAAATAATTTGGTAAACTAAGCCTTTGAGATATTATATGTGTATATATTCGCATTACGAATATCGCGTGTATGTATTTAACATGTATTTTATTAAACATCGTGGCGTTATAATGATTCACAAGATACATTTTTGCGATTGACAGCCACTTGATGTGGTTTTAATTTAAAATATTGTAAAAACAGTCGTGTCATATCTTCTGCATCCGACGTTTTCTGCACTGCGCTAATTTAGAATAACGTTCAGTCAGAGAGAAATAAAACTAATGAGAGTATTTTTTTTCCAACACAAAGGAGTGGTTTCAGCCGTCATGAGATACTCGTATTAAGGTATGGTGGTTTAATTACATGCTGAAAAGTGTGTATTTCAATAATCTGACTGAATCTGAATCTCAATCTCAGATTTGAGCGTGACGTATGGGAGTGGGAGGGTTGCAAACTTGCAAAAAAAACGATGTCTGGACATTCTCGAGTGTGGTTGAATTTTTTTTTAACTTAAAGGTAATAATTAAAGGATCCTGGAAAACATATAATCGGCCGATTTGGACAAGCCGAAGTAACAAAAATCGTTAATAAAGTGTTGCGCGTGCAGCTGCAGCAAAGCATGTATTTCATACTACGCCCCTCTCTCTATTTCGCTCTTTCTCTATCTTCCACCCTCTCGCACCGTCCGCACATCACTTTCTGTCTACCGTTACGCTTTCACAGCTGATCACAGCGCTCGTGAACTTCGTGGTATTATATGTACAACGCTCTGGTTAGAGACTAAAATGTAACACATTTTTTTTTATTTGTATTTTATTGTATTTATCTTTTTTTTTTAAATATCGAACATGTCTGTGAATAAGTGAATAAAATTTCTTGCCAAATTTTCGCACGAACCGCTGAAGCAAATAAGCTGATTTTTTTACAATGAGTGTATCTTGGCCTAATTTAACTCTGATTAGATTTTCAGCTTATTTTTATTCTTTATGAATTTAATTTATCACATTCAATGATTTAAAAAAAATCACGTAGAAATTTTTCTTTAAACCGTCAGATTAAGAGAATCCCTCCGAATATTCGTCAGATAATGGATTAGCATGACCAGGGCATCAAGCTGAACCGCCTGTATGAAAATCTGACGCGTTCGAGTATTTCCAGATGGCGTTTTTTTTTTCATTTTCAAAAAGCCGTCACGAGCTTGCGTCGCGTCCGAATCGTCAGACTTTTAGATCTGAGCTTCGTTTAGGCTCACTTAACATCCCCTCTGAATATCTGACGCGCTCGAGTATTTTCCCCCCCCCCCCCCATTTTCAATCCATTTTCAATACGGCTAGTCCCACCATGCAAACAAAATATAACCATCATCACATCAATCCTTTTACATCAGAAATAAAAAAATGTTGAAAGACTGGGCAATCTCAAGAGATTAAGAAGATGATGTAGATCATTTAAGCTTGTGTATTCAGGTACACCGTAGTTGGTACACATCCATTGTAAAACAGACGAAGTCGTAGCCACTAATTATCGGATTGTCTTTTAAACTCCTAGAGAAGTATCTGGCTGGTGTCTCCTAGATAAGTGTGTAGAGCACTATTAAAACTAAAGGTTAGCTCGGTGGTGATCATGCTTCGATATCTAAACCAACCACGTTAACAAACACGTTTACTAATAATTAGAGTTCATAACAAAAATTATGAACTTTTATTACATTTTCATTTTTTAATTTATCTAAAAGTTACTTCTCTGATTATGTGCGGTACGGAATTTGCCAGATCCGCTAATAATGTTACAGACGACACTTTCGAAATCTTAGGTCCTGCAGTTCGTTTGAAGGTAATCCCACAGGAAGCAATTTTTTTTCATATTTATGTGTTTTCGCATAATCTACTGTTTGGAAGCTTTTCCGATAATTTTCGATGTTTCACATTTGCCAAGTGTCCCGACAGCTCGACGGCTCACAAACACACACGCACAAACATTAAATGGCGCCCCAGGCCATTTATGCCTTTTTGTATGGCTTCTGCCGGACCTTCGCAGTCTGCCGCCACCATAATCATAACTACTAATCCACAGCGAAACACGAATGAAACATGTAAACACCACAGATTTTGCTGTATCAAATCGCAGCGTACCAAATCTGCAATTAGAAAACACACACTTAATAATAGTCCAGTT